GTTGAATCTAAATGTTTGCAAATTATACATCTTGGTGATGAACTTGGGCAATTGTCTTATTGGAGTTCCTGAAATGTCCAAGTATCTCAAACTTTTCAGGTTTCCAAAACATGATGGTAATGGTTCACCATCATCAGCACCACTAACACTGAGAGCTCGTAACCTTTTAAAGTTTCCCTGCAAACTAGTGGGAAAACCTTGCTCTGAAAACAAAGTCTGTAACTTTTTGGCAACATCTTCTAACTTTATTTGCACCTTTTCTTTGCCAAATTTGAGATTCAAGTGCCGAGCTTGGTGAGGCATATTGTTGGAAGACGACTCCTCAATAATCATGGTATCAGAATAAATGGACTGTGCAAAATCATGAATTAGATCATGAATTTTGCAAGATTTAACATTGTGGAAAGAATCCCTTGCTTCCTCTTGAAAAAGGGAATATGATGACAAGCAATTGAAATACTTGTCACCCATTTCCTCCATGGAACTTTCTTTAGAAGATTGGAGAAAGCCTTCGGCCATCCATAATTGAATTAGCTTCTCCTTCACAATGGCAAAATCCTTGGGGAAAATAGAACAAAATGCAAAACATTGCTTCAAAGCTGGTTTTGGCAACCGTTCAAAACTCAATTGCAAGACATCCATGATCCTGCGATGTTGATCTTCAAGTGAACCCCATACATTAATCTTCTTTTTAACTGACAGCCACTCAGTTTCATCCCTTCTATTGTACAAAGTGCCGCCTATAACATTTGCAACTAATGGAACACCTCCACATTTTTCAGCAATACCAAATCCAATTTCTTCCAATTTTAGAGGCACGGCATCATCTCCTAATGCTCTCTGCCTGATTATAAACCAACATTGATCAACTTCTAGCTGCTTAAGATCATGTATGTATTTGGAACCCATTATTGATGCGACATTTCTATTTCGAGTTGTCACAACTACTCTATTTCCAGCCTTTCTACATAATCCCAACAAACAACTCCTTAACTCTTCCCAGTTCCCACTCTCCTCACTCCACACATCATCTAGTATGAGAAGATAGTTTTTCCCCTCTTTCTTTTCTTCTTCTTTCCCCTCTTTTTTTTCCTCTTTTCTCTCCAACTCTTCTCCTATTTTCCGAAGCAGAGTATCTCTGTTTTTATTTGTACAAGGACTACCAGTAAGAGACTCCAACATTTCCCATAAAATTCTTTCAACATCAAAAATTTCAGACACACATACCCACATAATTTTTTCTCTAAAATATTCACGTATTTTATCATCTGCACACACCTTTTTGGCTAAAGTAGTTTTGCCAAGGCCTGCCATACCCACTACAGAAATGACAGAGATGGCCTCCTGATTACTAGAGTCAGTTAACAGGCTAACTATTTGATCAACATCTTCATCTCTTCCAACAACTTCTTGGGCTAGAAAAGAGTGAGTCTGTTGGTTTACTCTAGGTTCAGGAGCACTAGTATGGGCAAGTCTTTCTTGCACCCCCAACCGTTTGGCCCGTTTATTGATATCATCAAGATCTGTATTTAACTTCTTAACTCTATTAGCCATCCTCATGCGAAATACCAGAGGATTAGACAGAGTAAAGAAGTAGCTGACCTTTTTCCACTTGGGCTTCAGTTCTGCTACCTGATGCCGCAGATTTTCGTAACGGATCTCCTCGAACACATCATCAGCCTCATCAGCAACATCTCGAAGCCTCTCAAGCCAATCTTTCAGGTTAGTGTTGCCGGCAACATGCCTCTCATCAGCGTCCTGCAACACACCTCCCAGCATATTCATTGTGTTGCAAAACCTCTCCAGGTCTTGTCTCCATCCCAAGGCCAAATTGAGCTGCTCTGAAGCAAGAGCAGTCACCTTGGACACAGTGGCATCTACAATAGGACGAAGAATAATGTTCTCCATACTAACTGGAAGGGTTTGGAAAATTTTCTTTAGCAAAAGAGAAGTGAAGAATATGGTGTCTTTGTGATGATGAGGGTGGATCAAATGCAACCATATAATATCCGAAGTCAACGTCGGATTGATCCAAAGTCAATTTATTTACTATAAGAACAATTTGCAGTACAGAACAAAATTTCCGCGTTGAGTGGGCCTATGGTTCCACTAATGTTGCGTGTCGTTCTCGTCTTCTTCCTTTGGCCACAAAAATATTAGTACGTAATTGATGAGAACAATTGGGCCAACTCTTCT